AAGAGGGGAGGAAGAGATTACTCAATGTGTTAACTGAAAAGAAGCAAAACGGCCCAGTGATAGACTGCAAAGGAGTACATTAAAGTTGATGGAAGTTCATTAAACCAATCAAAATAAAACTCGAAATCCACATTAAGCGTCATAAACCATGCGTTCGGTTTGCAATATCTCAAAAAAACGCCACGGCGACTGTGAACTTCGTCCCCCTTCTCCTTTTGCTATGGTATTCCCGGAACTCAGAAGTAACCAGAACCTGGAAAAGTAAATAGCTGCAACTGGACTTTGGTTGCAGTTCTCGTCATCATCGCCGTGTGCTTCGCTCTACAATTTGCGCAGAGGCGGCTTTCTTTGTGATTTTTGCCACAAATAGACCACTTGTGTTCGACGTCAAGGGATCAAATCTGACCGTATGCTCCAACATTCCGCTACGATGCGGCCATTCTTTTGCACAAGCAATGGGCTGCAGCTCTGTAGATGTCGCTCCCAGCATGAAAGATGATCCATAGTCAATTGACAGAAGACATAACCAGAAAAGAGAACAGATCTGTCAGCCAAGTTCTCTGACAACACCTACCGTCTTCCCCCGAACATAACGCACCATGAAGGTGAACGTATACAAGCTATGTTTCCGGCTCGATACCCTCTCAAAATGAGGGCGCGTTGTGTTCGGGGGAAGACAGTAGCGTTCCTCTCCCTCCTTCCTTGATAGATTCTCTACCATCTTCCCTTGAATAGAATGTACACCGTACGGTCCATAGGGCTGCATTCGGGGCAATTTTCAGTCCATCTACAGCGATAATGACCGTATGTTCTATTTGGGGTAAGACAGTAGCACGATCTATCAGAATATTTATCTGCCAGAAGATGTGTCAAGTGGTGTTTTTCCAGTAATCATTCTGTGAAAATGTAAAAAATAAAAACACAAAGAGCGGCTAGTGGACGCTGAACCCCGTGTAGGAGCTCTTTTCGAAGGAAAAAAAAACAAACAGAAAGAGGTGGGCTCGGGAAGGGAAGCCGTGTAACAGTCCCCCGCTTGCCAGGCGGCGAGTGCCACAAGGGATGGCCTGATCTTCTTCCTCCTCGTCTTTCCCCCCCTTATCTCTTGGATGTAAAAAGTTTAACATGGTTGCCGGTAATAAGCAACCAGAGTTACCAGACTGTTGGGCCCCAGAATAGAAGGGGCGTGGGCTGGTTAAAAAAAAATAAAATAAAATGGAATGCTGGAACCTCACAATGATTGGAAGCAAACAGATGGTTAGAAAAGCAGAAACAGAAACCAGGGAGGGGCTTTACGGATGCAGCAGGACGGAGGTTGGCGGCCAAAGGGAAGAGTAGGGGGAGGGGGG